CTCGCCCGTCCACTAACACGTCCAGCCCATTCCATCTCGCGTCTCCTAACCCGCCCGTCCAGACACTCCCCACCCACTCGCCAACTCGCACGCTCGCACACACGCTCGCCTGCTCGACTACCCGTCTCCCCGCTCGACCTCTCGCATGCCCGACCGCCACCTCAGCTGGCCGGCCGCCCATCCAGTCGCTCGCCCGCCCGCCCGCTCACTCGTCCACTACCGCGCCCGGCCAGCCGCCCCGCCCAGTCACTCGCTCGCCCGCTGTCCTCCTGCCCACTCGTACCCCAGTCATCCTCCTCCCTCGGGCTCAAGCACGTTGCCCGCTGCGTCATTCTCTACCGGTCAGTCGCTCTGAGTCAGTCTCCCTCTTCCACCCATCTCCTCACTATCTGCTCGTAGATTATCACCAGCTGAAGCCCCCTCGACCTTCATCCCCCTTCATTCAGCGCGAAAAAGGTCGCCTGTTCAGATTTCTTGACCGGGAGATCATAGAGTTAGAGTCCCCTCTGTGGCGGATTTTCGACACCAGTTACGTAGCTTGGTCCAATTCGGCCTCTGTGTAAAGGAGAATTGTAGCGGCGGGCTGCTCTGATCGGACCAGACGAATTCCGGATCAGTATTCTAACAAACGTGCCATGGTCCGCGCGCAATCTTCCCTACCCTCACCACTTACACTAACATACACGTCAGGAGCCTGCCCCGGGCAGAGAGTGTATATTCCCGTGTGTGGTGGTCCGCCGTTAGTGAAGATACCTGCAGGCGGATTTACTCGTGTTCCGACGTGTAGGTCGACTCCAGATCTCACTTCTAGGGAAGATCAATTGATTGATTGGTTATTCCGGGCGCATCAACTGCTAAGGTCATTAATGTCGTAAGTGTAATCACTAGCGGACCAGGGGGGCCATGCCCCCCCCCACCAAAGGCCTAGAGTTTTAGTTTACATTCTTTTATCTGGCAAAATTGATTTAAATATTCATTTATGTTCGAATTACGTAATTGTTTAAACAGTAATAATGAATAGTATCCTATATACAATACATACATAATATACAATATAATAACAAATATGTTTATTATTTTAAAAAATTGTACCATCCCCCCACCCACCCAAATGATCGGCTAGATCCGCTAGTGAGTATAATGCATGTTTTTTTTATCACGGGTTGGGGTAAGAACGTCGCTACTTTCAGAGGTATAACATCCACTACACTTACGAGACAAATTATATCGGTAGTTTACGTGCTCTAAACCAATACTCACGTCAGGAGGAGGGCTATGCCTTGACTTCTGCGTTACCCTTTGAAAACAGACCCAAAATTGAAAGAGAATACGTTCTAATGAAATACACCAGGTACGAAATTTCCCGTGTCAAGTAAACTGTCACGGTACCCTTCTTAACATCCCAAACAATCCATGCATGTAAAATTGTGCCATTAGAGAACTGGGTGAAGCCCAGCAAAAAATAATTTATGAGATTATCGAATTCTGACGCAACTCGAAGAATCTCATTGGAACATCAGTTGTAAAAATCTTGACTTTCCCCATGAAAAGCGTTGCTGAAAGACTCGGGCGGTTATTTGCGTGCCCGAAAATACTGGTATGTGGTTCATTTCCATGACTTAGGTCGCAGGTGACATTCACAGAACTCTGCGCGGCCCTCGAGGTATCTCCCAGACTGCGGGGCACTGCCCTTATCTTGACTTGTAACAGAAGCTCTAAGATCTCGACTGGTCAGCTGACAGATATGATAGTGCCGGCGCTAGGCGTGGGCAGATTGGGCGAACGCCAGGGGCTCCGGAAGTCAAGGGGCCCGATGTTAGAAAAAAAATTTGTAAAATACTGAGAAAGAAATTAGAACTCGAGAAAATCGTTATTGTAATTTTATAAGTTGCGCACGGGCAAAAAAGAAGTTTCAGTATAACAATATTGTAACAAGTTACGTTGTTACAGTACCATGGATCTGTGCTTGCGTAGGCTTCCGCGGCCAGAGTTTACGTTGTCTAGGCGGCCAGCGTATTGTGGCCTTCTTCAGAGCGTACTGTACGCCAGTACGCTCTGAGGAAGGCCACAATACGCTGGCCGGAACGTAAGCCTCGAAGAAATTGACGCGGCTCGTCTCGGATAGCCTAGACAACATCATGGATCTGGTATACTGCAACTGTCCTTTTCTTCTTCTACAGTAGTCTGATATTTCATAAAATTTTCAATTATTTTTTTTCACTTAAATAGTTAATTAGTATAGAAATTACTTACGAGGTAGGACTCTTTGAAATGAAATAAATGAAGCTAACATTAAAATATGTCCTACCTAAATTCATACGTATTATTTAATGTATTTAACAAGTGATTTTATTAAACATAAACTGAATACACTAAATGTTTTTAGCGTTTTAAGCTCACCGTGGACATTGTATTATTTGATCACAATTTACTTAAAACTATTATTCAAATTATATTTCCAAAGACGTTTCTAGCTTAAACGTAATTTTTATTTGTTGAAATAAAATTACTCATACAGTTTCTTGATCATATTTTTAATTTTTCGGGGGTAGGTTTTCACGTTTCAGCATTGCCCATGCTCCAAAATTACCTAGCTTCGTTACTAGTGATAAAGTATTGTAATTGCAAGTGCACGTGTAAGGGGAAACAAGGATAGGGGGAAATTAATGACGAGCTACCCCAAGTCCTGTTCGTTAGGGTACTGGACGGCATTCACCTGTTTTTGTAGCGGAGAAACCACGGAAAACTACCAATCAGAGCAGCCGGCCGATACCATTCCCCTCTAGAGGTCATTCTCGGACATCGGCCTGAGAAACGTTGTGCCGTGTAAACAAAATTATTACAAATTGGTTATCTTAAGAGATACCGTAATCCATAAAACGAATTCACCTTATAGGGCGACGTTTTTTTTTTTTCAACACCCGAAGTGACCCGGCGGTGTGCGTGTGTTTCTCCACTGAGAAGGGCCTACCTCACTGGCCCCGAAGCCCGACGCATCTTGCAGGGTGCAACGCATTTCCCCCGCGCAGCGTCGACCGCCGGCTCCTCCGCACACCTGAATGACGTCGCTGGGCGGGGGAGGGAGAGGGGGGAGATCCGGTGACGACGGCAATCGGACACGCGTCCTGGGTGGTCGGCGGCGGCCGGCGGCGTCGCCAGACCGGAAGCCAGAAGTCTTCGCTTACTTACGCCGGCCCTACTTAATACGCCGCCGTTTCGACAGCTTTGGGGACCCTTTGGGCACCCTACACTTACTTTCACCTACCCCACCCTCTATTTTAAAGAAGTTTTGTTAACAAAACTAAAATTATCACTGAGTGACATTCTCGCATTGACCACCAACATTCCATTTGACAAATATTACTCAATGATACTGACACATCACTCCGTTATGCCAATTTTTTGCGTTTACTAGTTTAATCATACATCATTTTATACGTTTTTTTGTTGTTTTTTTTAAATAATTAAATATAATTTTTTAAGAACCATCTGGGCCTTTAAAACTGGGGTGGGGGGGGGGGGGGCTGGGCCATTGGCACAGGGCTGCGTTCTCAGACACGAGTGGATGGCTGGTTTGTTTATTTAATGTAATAAAGGCGCAGTGACATTATTGTCTACTTTTATATAATTAGTCCCCTCCTCAGACACACCCACACAAAATGGGGTAAACAAACTAAGGTAATTCCATATCGTCCCCGAGTTCAAGAATTCCCGCCGTCACTCGCTGAACGATAGCGAAGATTCTGTTTTGAACACTGTTGTTTCATAGATCATCTGAGAACGACGCGTATAAATTAAGCTATATTACAGTCTCAAGAACGCTTAAAATAATGACGCAGTGTCATTTTCGTTTAACTTCCCGAATTTTCGAAAATTGCAAAGTTATTAAAAAAAGGGAGGAAGTAGTACATACTGTTGTAGTACCACTAGTTTAAAAAGGCCAGTGCTGAAACAGTCTCAAGGTCACCCTTACAGCCCCTTTCATCTTCATGAAACCAGGAGACAATCAGCATGTCTTTCGCATCATTCACACAAGAAAATGTTTTTATACATCACAATAGCGAGTGAAGAAACAATGACAAAGAATGCTTTATATGGGGAAGAACACATTTCTAAACAGATTGGCTTTCAATGTTCTGTACTTCAATGTCCATGCCTGAAATTGAGAATGCAACATATTATGCTCTACTAAAATAAAGGTTTTTGCAAACATAAGAGAAAAAAATCATGCAAATAAATTGAGCAAGTGTTTGAAAAGCACAAAAAAAGCAGTGCATGATTGTTTCTTGATTTTGTATATGATTATTTTATGACAAATTTAAAGAGCAAAAATTGCCAAATTTCATATTCTTACCTTCCAATAATTCACAATGCAAATACAAAGCACATAGGACAATTTAGGGCATTACTTAGTTCCAAGGTGTTTGTTTTTAATGGTAAACATTATTTCTATTTACCATTCATATCCTCTTTTGTTAATTTGGATATTTTTATAAAATATGGGTATATTATTGTTTATGCTCAAATCACAAACAGAATTAAAATTTATTTTAACTTTCATTATACTACAATTATAATTTTTATTTACACCAATTCAGATTGAATATACTATATTTCAAATAGGAAACCATCTCCCTCCCCTCAACAATGTTGTAAAAGCCATATCAGACCCCACTATAATTCAATATATAAGGTAAACGAAAATTTTAAATGGACATTGTTTTACCTTTACTTAGCGTCTCACATTTTAAATTCATATTTGGAAGTTTTGAGGTACCTTGCTGCAGAAGGGGATGAAGCAATGAGGAAAATACTTGGAAATGGGTATCAAGCTCACTATATGACAAAATAAAATAAATAAGCAATGGATGTATGGGGTATTTATTTATTTATTTGAATATTTTAAATAACATTACAACAAAGTGCATAAAGCTGTGATAAAAAAAAAACTGCAGAACTTAAAAAGCATATGAATATCTGTATATTCACCAACCAATCAAGAATTCTGAAAAAAAGCATGCTAAAACCCATATGAAGCAAAAAATGGAAAAAGAAATAACCAAGCATAATAGCATGTCATGCATAATGGATCTCACATGTAGATTGTTTAAAATTACATAGTTTTTTAAGAAAATTAACAACTCAAATATGTGATGGCAATAAATAAGGAAAGCATTAGAATAAACTTAAATTTTTTTTTTAAACCTACAACATTGGAAATAAACAAAAACTGAAACAAAATGTCATTTGTACCAAAGCCCCAATTTGAAAATTTGACTTTATGAGAAATAGGTGTACTGGAGTCAGCACAATCGAAGAAAGTTTGTTCCTGCATTTCAAATTCATTTAGAATACAAAAACTAATTATATAACATTTTTTAATCAATTGTTAGACAACTTCTGTCTTTGACATTGACACAAAAGATAGTGAAGTCAAACTTTTCATGTCAACAGGACAAGGGTCAAGTCATTGGAATTACTAAAAAGGCCAAATTACTGAAGAACAAAAACCATACTTAATATTTTAAGGAGAATCCTAAGCCATATAAGCATCAATTATAAACCAAAGAATGATCAGTGGCAATCTACAAAGAAAAAAAGCAGATTGAAGATGAAGTATCCATCAGAACAAACTGATTGCCCTTACCTAATGCAAGCACATCCAAGACGTGCAATGCTCTCTGTTGGTTGAACAACACACTCCACCATTACCAAAAGCAACTGCTTCAACATCAGGGTGGCTGCAGGTAACTCAGGGGCATTTGGCCCACCTGAAATCAAAGAAGAAAATACAATTAATTACATGATCTAAAAATGTGTGACTGAAATAATATAATGTGTTATGTCTACCATGATTTGCACTACGACAGTCATTATATAAGGATCAATCCATTTTTAATGGTCCAGCACTGGTTGCTTGACCATATAAAACAAAATACATCCTAAAAAAATTGGGAATTTTGGATTTTTTCCAAAGTTTCAACTGCAATATCTGCTGAGGGACCAGATAAAATTTTGAAATTTGCACATGTAAAAGATTGCTAAGATGGCAAACTGCAGTATAAATTTCACCTTTGAGATGACTTCAATCTATTTATTTATTTATGCCAAAAAAAGTTAAAAACTTTGTATGTTGTGCTATGGGGGGAAGTTGATTTGAAGTTACATTTATGCCCAGAAGCAAAACAAGGGGCCATCTCAGCATTTGCTCGAGGATCAGGGAAACTGGATGAAAACCTGATCGAGATGGGGTCATTGACCCAGAAGCTGAAGTACAATACTTGAGACAGGACTAAAAGTGAGTTTAAAAAAATTGTCAAGTTAGGCAAAAATGCTTCATTTCCACATTGAGGGAAGTGGTGGCAAGAAGTAATTGTATTATTTTCTAGACATTTTGAACTCGAATTACCTTATTTTACAATAATAAACAATATTTTATTATAAACATAAAATCTCTAATATATAATTTTATGATTATTTTATATCATTTAAACTTGTTTGCAAATGAAAATAAATATATTCTACCCTTCACTCACCTTGAAGATGAGTAATATATTCCACTACAAGATCAGTGGCAAGACCACAGCACTGTTTGAAGTTGGGAGCAAAGTTGTCCCAACCTCTATAAATGCGTCCCGTTTTTCTCAGCCAATTTTGTACCATTGGCAGCAGCAGGTGGTTCACACAATACAGTCCAAAGGCAGGTCCTGTTTATGAACATTTTCTCTTACAAATATATTACAGTGCCTTCACAAAGTTAAATGCAATAATCAGATGAGCTAAATGAAATACTACAGTAAACTCGCATTAATTAAAATTCCAAGGGACTGAAATAATCAGAGTTTGTGTTAGACAAATTTGTGTTATTCGATTATTATAAATCAGTATAATACAGTAATTCCTTGCCAGGACTCAAGTTTTCATCGTGTTATGAAAAAATTTGTGTTAAGCGAGTTTGTGCTAATGAAAGTTTACTGTACATACTTTCTGTATTAATATAATTTACAGAAAATCTTCCATTTATTAATAGTACATTATCCTTTGAGAAAAATTAAAAAAGACTTAAAAAATTTGAGAGAATCCTTATCTTTTAATTTTATCTCTTAATTCATCTTCATATTTCCAATTTCCATTCACTTTATAGAACACTGACCTGGAGTATGCAATAGTTCTCTAAGTAGTTGGAATAAGGTATCCAAAGCATGTGGTTGAAACCGGCGAGGACAAGTTGTGGTAGCACTAGCCAAGCCTTCTAACAAGACGAACCACACTCGCAGTACCCCGCTCGGCTTGTCCAGACTGTCTAAAGTGGCTACTTCACAGCTTGTTGTTGACAATATTTTATAGGACATGCAATGGTTAGAACTCGCCATGTCCGGATCAAAGTAAGTCACCTCAATGTTAGGAATCACAGGATCAACGACCTGAGGTGCAGTATTCAGCTGTATCCTAAATAAACAAAAAATGGTTCAACTTGTCAGAGAAAAATAATATTACAAGAAAGAAGAAATTAATTTTCTAACTGTTAAGCTTTGCTTGCCGTTGTCTTGAAAAATACTAAATTGTGTATCCAAGAGTTTCATTAATAGGTTAACTCTTTGGGCTCCTATGCCGAAGGGGACTTTCATTCTAATATTTAGTCCCATTTAACAAATATTTTCTTTCTTTTCTAAGCACCGAATTTATTTAAATTTCAATAGGATATGCACAACTGTAAGTAAACAATTGATAGAGGTCTTTGTGTTCCTTGTTAAATAATTTCATATTGTTAGACAGTTTATTGGGCTACTAATGGGTTAAACCAATGCTTATATAAACTGAACAGTCATCTTTGATATGATGGCTCAATGGCTACAGTGTGACTAGCCAAATGATTCCCTTTTCAGGAATTTACTCAAAAACAAAAGGCACCATCCAATAAACAACACTAGCTGTGAAAAAATGGAGAGGTGTATCATGTTTGTTACCATATTTCAATTTATAAGATAGTTTATTAGGCAATTAAGTGTGGTGATATGAACTAAATAGGTCTTCATTGTGTCTGAAACAATATGCCTCTTCTTTTGTGATCCAAAACTTAGAAACCACAATTAGAACACAATCACAAACTTAGAAATCAATGTGTTGTGAGTGCAATGGTAGCATGTCAGTGGAATTTAAATAAAGAGCTCTCAGGTGCACAGTACCAGAAGAATTAGGAGTGCAAATGGTAACGACTTATTTCAACGGTACTTCTCTACATATGATATCTTTTTATTTATGGTCAAGAAAAGTACTAATTAAAACCATAAGAGCATAAAACAGTATAGGGTTATTTGCAAATATTTCCAAATAGAATTTAGTTAATATTATCAGAAATTTAACTTTACCTTCATGATAATTTATTACAACGTTTGAGGTATCAAGTTCATTTACATCCAAACTAATAAAATAATATATACCTCTGAACAGCATGGAAAATTGGGCACGCAGGCATGTTATACATGGAAGCCAATATGACAGCACACTTCTGTAGAAACTTCAGAGCAGCAAGGCAAAGCTCAAGAGAAGGATTTGTATCCAAATCTAAGCAACTAGTTGATCCAGAGGATTCTTCTAATTCACCTGCAAAGGTAATTTTGATAATTATTTTTACAAATCATTAAAATCTTTTATTTTACAAAACTGGATGGATGTGCTTAAGTGTAAATGTTTGTTACGAAAAAAAGATGTTATACAACTTGACCAATTGCTCCCAAATTTTACACACACACATGTTTGAGTAGCTAAGAAAGAAGATAGGGAGATTTACAGATCTAAAATGTTAACCCACATTTGTTACTTCAAATGCAGATTTACTCCTACTTGCAATGCGGAGGGATTGTTGCTAGGTAGAAGAATTGTTGCTAGTCACTGCAGAACCAGATTACATCAGCTAGTTATCAATTTTCTCCTATTCTGTATTGTTCTTCACAAAAATTGTTAAATAACTAAATTTAGGAGTACATAAATTTGTCATCGTTAAACAAACTATCCTCAAATTGTTTTTCTGGGGGAAAAAAAGGCCGGTCAATACCCTCTCTTACACCATGCCTGTGCCATGTGACGACCCGATGGTTGACTGAAACTTGCTGAGTAAAAAAATGAACAAATAGCAGAAATGATAGCAGATAAGCACCCATTCTATTCATTTTAAGATATTAAAATTTAGATTTAATCTTCAAAATCAGTTAATAATAGAAAGCAAAGCAAACATTGGGAGCCAACTACCTTTTATTTAAAGCAAAAATCACAATTTGATTGCGTAGAAAGCTCAAATTTCTTTCTAAATGAAAACTCTTAGTTTCAATTCATGAAAATGTATATGCTTTAAAAAGATTTTAAAAAATCAATCAAGTAATAGAAAATCTCACATTTTCAACACATGAAGTAGTATTGGAGCACTATGTTACTTATATTTAGGACTTAACTATTGCAATTATAATTTTCAAAAGAAAAATGCTATTTTTTAATAAAAATATTAACATTCTGTAACAAAACAAAAACAAAGTCTTGATTCTCTCATTACAAAGTTTACAAAGTTAAGGCACATTTTTGGGAGGATTGGTACCTAGATGTAGCAAGATTGTCTAAATGTAATCTACTTTCTGCCTCTCCTAAATTTCAGAATTTGCAAACACTTTTCCTATGGCTTTACATGAAAACATAGTCTTCTTCTGAAACAAAGGAGTAGATATCAGATTTTTAGGCACCAAAAGCTAATTAGGTCCTTACAATAGGCTTTTAAACAGGAAGAAAATCAACTACTATATTATTTAAATAAGCATGATATACAAGAAAAGAGCTCTTCCTTATACATTTACTTTTACTTCAAATGGTTATATAAGGAATGTAAATATGACATTTATTCAAAGAAAATGATATTTCCTGTTCTGATGCAGTTTGCAGCCTGGGTAATCTGGGATGAATAAGCATTTTTAGGCACAATAGGTGAGGCATCTTGCTATTGTAAAGTTATGTAAAATGGTCATAATTAATTTCAAATGTCTATGATAAAAGAGTAAAATTGGTGGCCTAAAAAAGGAAGTCTAATAATGAAACGATACTTACTGGGACCTCTGACGTGTTTGAGCAAGCAGAGAATGCAGTCCACAGCAGCATTTGAGAACACCAAGGGGTTGTCAGTATCAAGGAAGACTTCGAACACATCAAGCAAAGACCTTAACTGGCTCTGTCCATTTTCATCAGGTTGTTGACTTGATGACAATTTTATCACCCTCAGAGACCCAAATAACGGCCTCCAACCAGATCGAATTTCTGTGCGATTTGCTTCCACAAACTCACAGATGCAGCTCACAATCTAGAATAACAGACATTGCATAGCCTGTTCTTAAAAACCGTCTATCACAAATATTTCTGTGCATCATGGTTTCCAGTTTTTTTAATATCGTAAGAACCAAGAATAATAAACACAAACGTGGAACATTTCCTATGGTACAATTTATAAAGTTCTCATGAAAAGTTTCACATAACCATGCTTTTTTATGTAACACCCAACACAGAACCACCCTCCATAACACAACAGTGTAATAGAATTTAAAAACACATTTATAGCTTAGATAGAATACAGGATTATTTCATTTTGTAACACATTAATTTTATCGACTTACTTGATCCTGCACATCCACATCACACAACTCCAAACACAAAAGGTTTTCAAAGGGCTTAAATAATGCTTCATTAAAATGAAAATGGGGAAGTTCAGTTTGTTCATTGAGAAGAGCATTTACAGTGTCATGGATGCAGGCAACTGCCTTCTTTGAAATACTTCGCTCTTTATGGCAAGCAGCCTGCAACAAATGAGAGAGAACACATGGGAGAAAATACGGAAGGACAGTTTGATTATGATTATATAGTACCTGACAAGTGAGATCTTCCATTTAACAACCTGAATTCGCACATTAAACATTTAACTCCAAACAACAGAAAAATTACTCTGATTGAATATAACAGATGAACTAACTTACTACTGCTGCCCTCAGAATTTGTATCTTCCACTCTCAGAGAGGAAGTTCTAACCTCATGCTATAGCATTGCCAGTCTTCTCATTAATATGGAAGACTGACTAGCGATAAACTGCCCACATAGAAATAATTCCAAGACTAATACAATTCCATTAGAAACTAAATTAATAAAAAATTAAATAAAACAAAAGTGACTTTTAGCCGTATGGTACTATGAAGAGTTTAAGTTTGTATTATAGTGAAGACAACTTTAACTTTTTACAGTTCCTAGAAACACAGATGCCCTTGCTGCTACCACACATTTCACACCCAGAGCTACACAAATATTGAACCATCATCACTGATGCAGATAAAAGAGGAGGGGTCAGGTTATATGAGAGTAAGTAGTGAAGAGCCCTTCAAAATTACCTTTAGTCAACACCTTTCATTTTTCTCTAGTACAGATTCCGGTATTGATGCTATCAATGTGCTCTGTAGATTTGAACTATCCGCAGGCAACGTGAAGCGATGAACTGAAATTGTCAATATGAACTTCCCTTACCTCCATAAGATGTGGCCCCACAATTGACCACACTCGCATGATGTGAATAAGTGGACGACCACTGCGTACACATTTGAGCATGACCTCGCCGACGCGATTGAGCAAAAGCTGGCTGTGGGCAGCAGCAGGCGGACCTGGATCTGCCTTTCTCCACCACAACTTTCCTGCACCCCCTGCATCACGCCCTCCAGAGGTTGCGTGCTGCGCGAACAGCTGAGCTTGAGATGCCTCACACAGAGCCGTCAAAAAGCTACTCAGGGCACGCAGGTTCAGCTTCAGAGCAGCATCTTCAAAAAGCCTAAAAATATAGAAACTGCCTACAGAGAGTAGTTGAATATAAACAATAAAGTATTAAATTACAAGAGTTTGTGGGAAAAAGCTTTAAAAAAAAAATTTAAAAAAAAAATTTAAAAAATGTAAATATTTACAGCCAATGAGGTTACATTTTCAGCCAATTCAAGCTGTGACATCACAGGTATCAATCTCAAAAAAATCATGCAGCAAGTTTTTTAACCCAACAATAGAATTCAGTTACACCCATTACAAAGTTGTTCTATGAAAACTAAGAACTGCCCATTCATTAAAAAATAAATCCTAAAATAAAATATAATACATGATCCCACACCCAAATATTTCTTTTAGCCTGATACTAAACCATTCTTTTGAAAACAATTTGTACAAATCTTGTGCAAACTTACAACAACTTTTTTGTTTTTATAATCACCCTCCAATACAACTTCCTCAGTTACAAAGATTAAAATTCTCAGAATATTACGACTATCTTCAAGCCTCTGAAGAGAAGTACTGTTAAAAAATAAGCACAATGAAGGTACCTGTCAACCAACTGCGACAGGGCACAGACTACACGTGCAGCATACTGGTAACTAAGCACACCATTTGATGCAATGTCTGCGTTGCTTTCATGAATTAGTTCAGTAATAGATCCTGTTGTAGCCACGGTTGGAGCTGGCGTTGAAAGGAAACTATACACATCAATACTGAAATTTGAAACAAATGTTTTTAGAGTCAGTTTTTTATGCAAACCCAACAAAAATTGAAAAGTTGTAAAAAGGTAATAAAAAAGAACACGATAAAAAAAATTATCGGAAAATTATCATTGAATATAATACTTGAAATATAAACAAAATAATATATTATTAATTTACATAACATATCAGTAATGTCAACCTTTCATTGTATATAATACTTGAAATATAAACAAAATAATATGTTGTTGTTTTGCATAACATCAGTAATTACAGATTATTAACATATTATATTAGTAATTACCAAGTTTCATCATCATCAGGAATATTGAAACTGAGGTTAAGACGATCAGTGGTACTCTGCGAACTGCTTGTGTTTTGTCCAGAGTTGGAATGCCAAGATGAACTCAACTTTGATGCAAGAGCTGGCTTATTCTGAGCCTATTCAAAAACCAACTGTATCACTACTCAGAAAAGGTAAAAATCAAAAAAGAAGAAAAAGTAAATTATGTAATAAGTTCGTGAAACAGGTGATTCACACACAAGTCACGTTTGCCACCCAAGTGCAGAAAGGGATAAGATAAGGGCATGAAAGACGTTTCGTACATTCCTTGAAGTTTTCCACACAAGAGTTAGAATGAAAAAATTAGCCGTTTCAAATACAGAAAACAAGCATGAGAAACTGTTTCATCACACTGTGTGTTAAAAAAGAATTAACAGTAACAGATAGAAATATACAGTAGTAAATAGTAAGTACAATAAAAATTTTCTTTGAAATAAGTGAACAACTAAAAAGCAGAATGTTTCATTTAAAAAAAAATATAGTAGCTTCTCTTGGATATGAAATTATAATATCAGCACTTTTTGCTCCAACATTATAATACTTTCTCTGCAGTATGTAGTAGTTTGTGAAAAAGTAAAAACACATTTATATGAATAAATTCCTACCCAATATGTGTTTATATATTATTTCAACATATTCGATATTAAGATTATTGCTTAACTAAATATATATAGCTATTATTCATGGTCTCAAAATTAAAGGCTTAAAAGAATCAGGTTTGCCCTCAAAGGTACTGATAAATCACTTCAATCAGTTTACACACATTGTAACATTTCGAATTCATTAATAGAATCAAACCTGAGCAAAAAATCCATGTTCCAATTGGCTGATGTATGAGCAACATCGGAAAACATGAGGCCAGCAATCAGCGGAGTGTGAACCAAGCTCCAAACCTCGGCCTAACAAGACGTCCATACTTAGAGCATGAGATGTGTGGAGTTTCTCAGGGCGCTGCAGAAGTTTGAGGACATCTCGCGGGCGCCGTAGTCTTCTCCTCACCCCAGCACTCATACCTCCACCATTTCCTGCATTTGCATTTCCACCCGTTGTGCTTCGCCCTGCATCAACCGCACTTGGGCAGGATGCTGCAGCCAGCAGGGAGAAGATGCTGCCACAACGACTTTGGAGCCCTACACATAGAAGTTAGATAGCTTAATTCACAAGTCACTAATACAGCAAATCAGGAAACACTTTTGAGATCCACAAAAAGATTTCAAGTGATACAAGACATTTTCTCACTAAAATGGAGTGTTCACAAAATTGCAGAGTATTGAAAACACAAGAAAGAACATATGAAAATATTCCGAATTTAAAAGATAAATTTAAAAATTACTATTCCAGTTACAGGCATACATGATAACAAAAAAGCACTGCTTCAGAGTCAACTTATGCCATGCAAACTAATTACGTTTCCATTTTAACTGACTTCACTTCAGTAACAAGGTTTTCTTAACTATATCACACGAAATTAAATGAAGATATATGTTTTAAATACGAGAACACTCAGACATTTACTTTGAAATTTAAAGATGAAGGTAATAACGGTGCAACTTTTCTTGACTGATGACCTTGCTTCCCCCTCCCTTGAGCAATAAACAGTTGAAGGCAACAGCTCGCAACAAACACCGATGACAACATTCCAAACATTAAAATCTTGTTGGGGTAAAATAGACGCTAGTCGAAGCTTAAGTTTTTATAGTTGCTTTCAACGTCAAGAAATTCTTTTGGAGTTTATTCTCAATAATACCTAAAGAAGTGGCTGAGGCAGATCCATCCTTCAAGGGATGCACCTCACACTTCTGAGAAAATTAAGAGGACATGTACTAGTAGCCAACACAAAATTATCAAACAAGTTTTGATGCTCGTAAAATAGAAAATAGGAACAAGGTTTTGTTATATTCTTTGAGTAACGCTATAGATCAGGCTTCAGCTCGACTGGAGCTAGAATTTCCACGATGGAAGAATAATGACAAAAAGAGACAAAGAACCTTTACAATCCTCAGATATGCCTGGAAATGGTTACATTCAAGTAAATCAATTTCATAGAGTCGGTTAAATTGCAGTTTTTACATACTATTTCCACCAACTTTAGACAGATCTTCGAATAAAAAGCTGATTTATAGTATTTTAAGACTTTAAAAAATGTTTCCCTTGTTAATTACTCTGTCATAATTGATATGAAAAAATTATTATAATAAAATATGATTCGTCATCTCAGGCAAACAAACTCTGTACTATTCCCAAGCCAAGAAATAGTCTTGCATTACAAAACGTGAGGGACAATTTTAAATATAAATCTGAGATAGAACTTGTACTGAGAGCAAAAACCAATGAAGCTATAATGAAAAAGTTGGGAAAACAGAATGAAAGGATAGAACAAATCATAGTAATGAATTATTTCCTGAAATTGAATATTCCTTTATTCTTAATCAATGAATGAATAATTGTCATCAATTTTGATATTCCAGATGCCAGCATTAATTAAAATTCTGTAGTGGCTGACTTTGTAACTAATGCTCCCACTCCGTCCACATTTCTTCAATCCACCAGTCAAGAAAAGTTGTGCAGTTATTGTGTACTCTGACTGAACTAATTGTTTTATAAATCTCACCCAAGATGTTACTAAGCCGAGCAGCTTTATGGAGACCTTCTAGACTGGCTATGACACTATCTCGAGCACGACGATGTTCTTCCCGTGCACCCTCTGATCCCAGAAGCAGGGCAAGGCTTGAAGTCACTCCCAGCTGCGCAGGATGGTCTGACAAGGGGACAGAGAGTACTCTCAACATGCTGTCCCAACAGCAACTGAGCACACGCCGAGAAAGTTTGATGCTGGCTTCAACTTCCGCACTGGGTTCGCTGGGGGCAGCTGCACGTTCCAGACGCTGGCAATCGGATAACAGCTGCCCACCTTGCTGGTTGCTGTTTAGACCATCCAAATCTGCACCAAATAAGAATTTGATTTCATTTTTAAGGGGCAGTACAATGCAATGAATGATAATGTGGTTTATGTTTGTAAATCCATTACTAGCTTTGACCCTATTTAAAGTGTTTTAACAAAACAAGAATGGGATTAATCTACAAATTTCCATTGATGCAGTACAGAAACGGTTTCCAACATAATTCAGAACTACAGCTATATGTGAACAGTAAATGCAAGTTCGTTGTAGAAGTGATAACAGTCTTCGTTAGATTTTCGAATTAATCTGGTGATGATGAACATAAAGAAAGGAATGTTGCTGAATTGTTTAGATACATTTCTTTTGCCTTGAAGAAAAATTATGTTAAAGTACATACATGTAAGCATTCACTTATAAAAGCATCATTGCATTAGGACAATAACTTAACAATTATGTTATTTATTCAGCAATGTTTTCTTCTTATTACAATTAATATTGACATGCATAAATAATTTATTAAATTTACTTTAAAACAAAGATCTGAAAACATTTATCTACAATTTGTCAAAACTGTAGTAACTGATTTTAACGTACTAGCACACAAACGTTTAAAGAGGATCAGAAACTATTTTAAACTAAATTTCATATCTTTTACTTTACTTTGCAAATGATAAAAAGCTTAATTACTCATGAACAAATACATTGAACTACTTTGCTCATTAATAATTTTATATGTACATTCTTTTCTTTTCATGCTTTGCAATTACTTCTATAAAGCTATTAAGCTTTGAGGCACAAAAGAGGATCTAGAGACAATACACTACAATTTAGTTAATTGATACTTTCAAGGTATACAATTTTAATTATGGTAGTATTACTAGGGAAAGCAATTCTTTTAAATCACAATTAGTATTTATAATCAACTTCATCATGTCATTAATTCATCTAGCCATGCATATGTTATAAGTTATTTTTAATTATAAAGCAACAAGCAAAGGTAAAGTCAAAACCAAGTTGGGCAAGGTAAAGATGACATGGAAGATTAGTGAATGGTGACTAAAACACTTTCAAAAATATCTTATTGGATGTGTTATAAAGATGAGGGTTTTGTGCAAAAATGCAACTGATCATCTCCTGTACCTTGCCACAAATATCATGAATTGTTAGTTACCTGTAAGGAGGTTAACGAGAGCATAGTTATTGCCTGAATTGGGTTGGTAGCCACATTTTTCCAGTATACTGGAGGCAAGCACTTGCTGATACAACTCAGATAACCAAGTGTCAGTCAGGTACACCAACACACCACTCCCATGCACCCCTTCCACAAACTCTCCCTGTCACACAAGTTAGTAGTAAACTCTCAAAATTATGTCATTACACAAACACAACTATATTAAGAAGTATTTCCATTTCTCTACATTATGAACACTAATATTACAATGAAAGTACCTAATAAGAAATTCATAATGAAGTTTAGAGGTGCGTGTGTGTGTGAGAGAGAGAGAGAGTGTGTGTGTGCATGCGTGTGTGTGTGTGTGTGTGTGCATGCGTCTGTGTGTGTGTGTGTGTGTGTGCATGCGTCTGTGTGTGTGTGCATGCGTCTGTGTGTGTGTGTGTGTGTGCATGCGTCTGTGTGTGTGTGTGCATGCGTCTGTGCGTGCGTCTGTGTGTGTGTGCATGCGCCTCTGTGTGTGTGTGTGTGTGTGTGTGTG